GACCGAGTGAGCTGGACTACCCTAATGTAAACTCTCTCTCTGGCCTGTCCTCAGTGACTCAGCTATATAGGTGTGCTATGTTGGTTCTAGGTGGTCCCACAGTGAGTGGACCGAGTGAGCTGGACTACCCTAATGTAAACTCTCTCTCTGGCCTGTCCTCAGTGACTCAGCTGGATATAAGTGTGCTATGTTGGTTCTAGGTGGTCCCACAGAGAGTGGACTGAGTGAGCTGGACTACCCTAATGTAGACTCTCTCTCTGGCCTGTCCTCAGTGACTCAGCTACATAAGTGTGCTATGTTGGTTCTAGGTGGTCCCACAGTGAGTGGACCGAGTGAGCTGGACTACCCTAATGTAAACTCTCTCTCTGGCCTGTCCTCAATGACTCAGCTATATAGGTGTGCTATGTTGGTTCTAGGTGGTCCCACAGTGAGTGGACCGAGTGAGCTGGACTACCCTAATGTAAACTCTCTCAGGCCTGTCCTCAATGACTTAGCTATATAGGTGTGCTATGTTGGTTCTAGGTGGTCCCACAGTGAGTGGACCGAGTGAGCTGGACTACCCTAATGTAAACTCTCTCTCTGGCCTGTCCTCAATGACTCAGCTATCTAATTGTGCTATGTTGGTTCTAGGTGGTCCCACAGTGAGTGGACTGAGTGAGCTGGACTACCCTAATGTAGACTCTCTCTCTGGCCTGTCCTCAGTGACTCAGCTATATAAGTGTGCTATGTTGGTTATAGGTAGTCCCACAGTGAGTGGACTGAGTGAGCTGGACTACCCTAATGTAGACTCTCTCTCTGGCCTGTCCTCAGTGATTCAGCTATATAAGTGTGCTATGTTGGTTATAGGTGGTCCCACAGTGAGTGGACTGAGTGAGCTGGACTACCCTAATGTAAACTCTCTCTCTGGCCTGTCCTCAGTGGCTCAGCTATGTAAGTGTGCTATGTTGGTTTTTTGGTGGTCCCACAGTGAGTGGATGAGTGAGCTCGACTACCCTAATGTAAACTCTCTCTCTGGCCTGTCCTCAGTGACTCAGCTGGATATAAGTGTGCTATGTTGGTTATAGGTAGTCCCACAGTGAGTGGACTGAGTGAGCTGGACTACCCTAATGTAAACTCTCTCTCTGGCCTGTCCTCAGTGACTCAGCTGGATATAAGTGTGCTATGTTGGTTATAGGTAGTCCCACAGTGAGTGGACTGAGTGAGCTGGACTACCCTAATGTAAACTCTCTCTCTGGCCTGTCCTCAGTGGCTCAGCTATGTAAGTGTGCTATGTTGGTTATAGGTAGTCCCACAGTGTGTGGACTGAGTGAGCTGGACTACCCTAATGTAAACTCTCTCTCTGGCCTGTCCTCAGTGACTCAGCTGGATATAAGTGTGCTATGTTGGTTATAGGTAGTCCCACAGTGAGTGGACTGAGTGAGCTGGACTACCCTAATGTAAACTCTCTCTCTGGCCTGTCCTCAGTGGCTCAGCTATGTAAGTGTGCTATGTTGGTTATAGGTAGTCCCACAGTGAGTGGACTGAGTGAGCTGGACTACCCTAATGTAGACTCTCTCTCTGGCCTGTCCTCAATGACTCAGCTATGTAAGTGTGCTATGTTGGTTCTAGGTGGTCCCACAGTGAGTGGACTGAGTGAGCTGGACTACCCTAATGTAAACTCTCTCTCTGGCCTGTCCTCAGTGACTCAGCTGGATATAAGTGTGCTATGTTGGTTATAGGTAGTCCCACAGTGTGTGGACTGAGTGAGCTGGACTACCCTAATGTAAACTCTCTCTCTGGCCTGTCCTCAGTGGCTCAGCTATGTAAGTGTGCTATGTTGGTTTTTTGGTGGTCCCAGAGTGTGTGGACTGAGTGAGCTGGACTACCCTAATGTAAACTCTCTCTCTGGCCTGTCCTCAGTGGCTCAGCTATGTAAGTGTGCTATGTTGGTTTTTTGGTGGTCCCAGAGTGTGTGGACTGAGTGAGCTGGACTACCCTAATGTAAACTCTCTCTCTGGCCTCAATGACTCAGCTATCTAATTGTGCTATGTTGGTTCTAGGTGGTCCCACAGTGAGTGGACTGAGTGAGCTGGACTACCCTAATGTAGACTCTCTCTCTGGCCTTTCCTCAATTACTCAGCTATCTATAATAATAATATCTTTATTGCCGTGAAACAAATATAAAATTGCATGGCATCCGTCAACATTTAATACAGGTATAACAAGCGACAGCAAAACAAATAAATACAGCAGCATAAAACAGTTAATAATACGAATGATTAAAAAATTACACAGAACTTGTCATTTGATTGATTTAGAACCTCAGAGCAGCCGAACACCATCTACTCATTTGTGTCAAAAAACTCACCCACAGTGTAATATTCTTTATTAATCAGATATCTTTTTAAAATCCGTTTGAACCTTTTTTCGTTCCTTTCTTTCCTTATTTGTTCAGGAAGACTATTCAAAAATCTCACCCCCGTCGAAGAGGGCAAGCTTGAGGCTGCACGGGACCTGTTTTGGGCCAACCTATATTGTTCTCTGCCTCTAGTTGAATACGAGTGAATGTCCTGGCCTTGTGTTAGGCTGCATTTAAATTTAGAAAACGTGGCAGCTTCCAAGATATACAGAGAGGCAAGAGTAAGCAGGCCTAGCTCCCTGAAGACGGTCCTACAAGACTCTCGCACCTGTAGTTTAGCCACTATTCTGAGTGCTCTCTTTTGAAGACGGAACAACCTGTGGAAGTCCGCTTCTGCACATCCACCCCAAATTGCAATTCCATAAGAAAGATGGGGGTAAATAAGGCCAAAGTAGGCCATTAGCAAGACATTTTCTGGACAAAATTTTGAGAGGACTCTTAAGGCAAAACAGCCTGAAGATACCCTCGTGCAGACGTTGTCAAGGTGGTTACTCCAAGTGAGCCCCCGGTCAATGGTGATGCCCAGAAACTTAAAAGAATTGACTTGTTCAATTTGTGAGCCATCAATCATGACCGTTACAGTCTCACTTGGTTCACCGTGCCTGTAAAAACGGATGAAATTTGTTTTTTGAGAATTTATTTTCAAATTGATGTTTTCAAAAAATTGAACACATGAATTTAGATCTACAAAAGTTTTGATTTCTAGATTTGGAAGATTGTTGGCACTGCAACAGAGAGTCGTGTCATCAGCATACTGAACCAATTCGCTAGATCCAGATGCTGAAGACAGATCGTTAACGTAAATTAAAAATAAAATTGGACCAAGAATGGATCCCTGCGGGACACCATACTTTAACAGAGCTGGTTTTGAAAGATGATTTGAGACCTACACCTGTTGAGTTCTGTTTGAAAGGTAAGATTTTATCCAATGCAACGGAACACCTCGAACACCGTAGTGTTCTAATTTTGACAAGAGGATACTGTGGTCGACGCAGTCAAAAGCCTTGGTAAGATCTAGAAAGACACTGAGTGTCGGGTGATGCTTGTCCAGATTCTCAATTACCTTACTGACAAGGCTATGCACTGCATCCACTGAACATTTCCCCCTTCTGAACCCGAATTGATCAAATGAAAAAATGTTGTGATGATTGAGAAATGCTAACAACTGAATCAAGAACAGTTTTTCAAAGATTTTGCTAAACACAGGCAAGAGAGAGATAGGACGTTAGTTGTTGGCATTGAGTGGGTCCCCCTTTTTAAAGATTGGAATAATTTTTGCCCTTTTCAGATCTTCAGGGAAACACCCACTCTTAAAAGATGCATTGACTGCTTCCGTCAATGGACGTAATATATGCTCAGACAGTTGCTTGAGAAGCCACACAGACATGCCATCGACATCTGTTGATCTCTTCGACGGTAGTTGATTTATGACTGTTGCAACTTCCTCCTCTGTTACGGGGAAAAGTCCCATAGACATAATGGGACTATCACCTATCATCTAAGTGTGCTATGTTGGTTCTAGGTGGTCCCACAGTGAGTGGACTGAGTGAGCTGGACTACCCTCATGTAGACTCTCTCTCTGGCCTTTCCTCAATGACTCAGCTATCTAAGTGTGCTATGTTGGTTCTAGGTGGTCCCACAGTGAGTGGACTGAGTGAGCTGGACTACCCTAATGCAAACTCTCTCTCTGGCCTGTCCTCAGTGACTCAGCTATATAGGTGTGCTATGTTGGTTATAGGTAGTCCCACAGAGAGTGGACTGAGTGAGCTGGACTAACCTAATGTAAACTCTCTCTCTGGCCTTTCCTCAATGACTCAGCTATCTAAGTGTGCTATGTTGGTTCTAGGTGGTCCCACAGTGAGTGGACTGAGTGAGCTGGACTACCCTAATGTAAACTCTCTCTCTGGCCTGTACTCAGTGATTCAGCTATATAGGTGTGCTATGTTGGTTCTAGGTGGTCCCACAGTGAGTGGACTGAGTGAGCTGGACTACCCTAATGTAAACTCTCTCTCTGGCCTGTCCTCAGTGATTCAGCTATATAAGTGTGCTATGTTGGTTATAGGTGGTCCCACAGCGAGTGGACTGAGTGAGCTGGACTACCCTAATGTAAACTCTCTCTCTGGCCTTTCCTCAATGACTCAGCTATCTAAGTGTGCTATGTTGGTTCTAGGTGGTCCCACAGTGAGTGGACTGAGTGAGCTGGACTACCCTAATGCAAACTCTCTCTCTGGCCTGTCCTCAGTGACTCAGCTATATAATTGTGCTATGTTGGTTCTAGGTGGTCCCACAGTGAGTGGACTGAGTGAGCTGGACTACCCTAATGTAAACTCTCTCTCTGGCCTGTCCTCAGTGATTCAGCTATATAAGTGTGCTATGTTGGTTCTAGGTGGTCCCACAGCGAGTGGACTGAGTGAGCTGGACTACCCTAATGTAGACTCTCTCTCTGGCCTTTCCTCAGTGATTCAGCTATATAAGTGTGCTATGTTGGTTCTAGGTGGTCCCACAGTGAGTGGACTGAGTGAGCTGGACTACCCTAATGTAAACTCTCTCTCTGGCCTGTCCTCAGTGATTCAGCTATATAAGTGTGCTATGTTGGTTCTAGGTGGTCCCACAGTGAGTGGACTGAGTGAGCTGGACTACCCTAATGTAAACTCTCTCTCTGGCCTGTCCTCAGTCACTCAGCTATCTACTCTCAACAAAGTGCCTTTACCTCCTGAGATTATGGAGCATTTTGGTCGTATCCTCTTAATATCAAGCATATTGTTTAGTTTATTTTCTGTTATTGGTAGAATTTAAGCATGGCGAGCAACTAAGCTTAGCTCGGATTGAATTAAGCAGTACAGTAGACCACCATTTAACAGACCCTAATGGGACCGGACCTAGGTCGGATAACTGAAAAGGTCGGTTAAAACGGGCAATCCCTAAAAGCATAACATAACGAAGTGCTATTCATTTGGAATTATATAATATTATTTTGAAGTCATACTTGCATTATTTATAAAGTAAACTACTTTTATCTCCTTTTTCGTATTGACAGAAAAGTGACAAATAAACACAAAACACGGTTAAGTCAAATAGGCGTACTTTCAGTGGCATATATTATAATACTAGGCAAGAGTCAATAAAAATTCCTATTTTAATAACTTTAGTACTGTACTATAATGTATTAATTGATGCTTTCCAAATCCATCGTGATACAGTACAGAACCTTCTGTCGAAATTAAAGATACAAGCAACCATTTTGTTACAAGACAGGATGTTTATTTATAGCCTCTCACTGGAGGCTCGAGGCACAAAAACTATCTTGACCTTGGAGTTGACAACCCCCCTTCCCTGCCATCACTACAAGTTGCGTTGTTTGTTTACTCTAGCGATAAGATAATCAGTTCTCAAAATCGTAACGCACTTTATGACGTTATAAATTTGCCGCGCAGATAACAACTCAGATCAGATTTGCTCGTGCTATGAATGATGATGACAAACCGACAATAGGCTATGCTATATTTTTTGTTAACAATACAAAATAACTTATTCTTGGTCATATCCTGTGGAGATAAGCGTATGGTTCAGTTCTCATCGCCCAGCGTGGGAGCGGAAATGCCGGGAATCCTAGAAAGCGGCGGTTAAACGGAGCTGCTCTCAAAGCAAGGTCGGTTAAAACAAACTGTATTATTTTACGATCGAGGGCGGATAATCCGATTATCGGTTAATACGAGGTCGGTTAAGAGGGGGTCTACTGTACATTTATTATTTAAGTCAATTAACTAAATTAAAGATGTTAAAGATATAATATACTTATTTATAGGTGTATCAAAATGTTTTAATTATACCATCTATAATGTGTTTTCATTAATTACCTTACATAATGAATTTTATTAATACAATTTAATAACTAATTAAATAATAATACATTTTCTTTATGTATGGTAATTAATGTGAACACATTTTAGATGATACAAAGTAAAAATTTTGATACACCTTTATAAATACGTAGAATTGTAGACTGCAATAAAAATAACCTGTATCAGCTGATTTATTACCTGAAGCTACATAAAGGCATCGAAAATAGCATGGGAACTTCCAAGGGCTGCAGTGCGGAAACTGAATTTTTCCCAGCGTTGTGACCAATTTCAATAGATTTGGCATGGCCAAATACCACATAGTAAACAAAACAACTATTAAAAATCCTTGGACAATAATAAAAGTTTGTCCGTACACGCGCTTGATTTAGAGCTCAGGATTTACAGTTACAATTTTTAACAAAATCTTTTATGTAGAGGTAATTCTTATAAACATACCAAAATGGCTATCATAATTCTGGTTACTAAAATTTAAACAAACAACATTTTACAACAAATACAAGAAACAAATAATCGGTATCAGCATTCTGATACATACTTTCTCCCATAAGTTTGTCAACAACCTTTACCATGTGTAAGCGGTGAGAGTAAATATACGGAAATGGGATTTGTACAATTTTGTTCAGAATTTAAAGACTATAACATACAAAATTTTCATCAAAATCGTTCAGGCTATTTTTGGGAAAATCCGATTTTTCCGTTATTTTATGGGGTTTTATGGGAAAATAACATAATTTACAATAACTTTTGAACCATAATTTTTACAAAAATGGGATTTGTACCATTTTGTTCAGGATATAAAGGGCTTACAACATACTAAATTTTTATCAAAATCGTTCGGGCCATTTTTGAAAAAATTAGATTTTTCCGGTTTTTTATGGGTTTTATGGAAAATCCCCATTAAAAATCAAAATTTCAAAAAAATGAAAAAAAAAACGCCTCGAGATACCATGGATTAGAACCTACATACCAAATTTCATCGAAATCGGACCACTGGTGTAGTCCCTAGCTCTGTACACATCCAGACAGACAGACACACACACACACACACACACACACACAGACATCACATCGAAAACCACTTTTTTGGGTCCAAGGGGACCCAAAACGGATATATCCACTCAAAACTCAAACTTTTGATTTTGATTTTATTTTAAAATACACCTTAACTATTAAAAGATATGCAATGCCGCTGCATGATGGGAGTGTTTCCAGAAATCTGCCGAGCATGGCTCACTATTGACAGTGACATATACATCTGGGATTTTGAACATGGGTAAGTAAATGGGCAATTTAAAAATTTTTTTAATGTGTTTTATCACTTACGTAGCTTTGCAACGGTGTTGAACCATGTAGCAACTTTGTGTTGATGTTAGTTAAAATATTTATTTGTAATTAATCAGTAGTCCAGTCAATAAATTTATTGTAAAGGACATGGAGAGGGGGAAATTTTTTTCTGCGGGAATGTTCGGGGTAGTTAGAAGATAAAAATACCAAAAGTCCCCGCCCCTGGCCCTGCTGCTTCAGCGGGGGGAGGGGCCAATTTTTTAGCTTTTTACTTCTACACTGAAAACCGTGCGTCGTACGGGAAAAATGTAAATTATAAAAAGAAAGATGATAAAATTCTCTACAAGAATGGTTATATCAATTTCTTATGTAAAGGGTGATTTTTTTATTGGTGCGGTTTTTAAAACTAAATAAAAAAATGAAAAACAACCTGCATTGACATAAAAATGCATTTATTTGAACTACAGTGTCATGACATTAACGTTTAAAAATGATTTCTGGCATATGGGCTCCATTCCGTTCGCGTAGAAAGCCCAATCGAGAAGTCCAATTTTCGAATACTCTTTCCAGCAGCTGTGGTTTAATTCTGCCAATAACTCGACGAATGTTAGCTTCCAAGTCATTTAAAGTTTCAATGCTATCGGGCAACGTTACGGGACTTTTTCGTTCCTCAGCTTAACGAACTTGAAGTGGATCTAGAAAATGTCTGGTTCCAACAAGACGGCGCGGCGTGCCACACGGCAAACGACACAATTGGCCTCTTGGCAGAAACATTTGGTGAACGTATCATCTCATTTAGAGGTAGTGTCAACTGGCCCCCACGGTCGTGTGATATCACGCCAACAGACTTCTTTCTGTGGGGATGTGTTAAGTCTCAAGTATACGCTGACAAGCCACAAACTTTAAATGACTTGGAAGCTAACATTCGTCGAGTTATTGGCGGAATTCAACCACAGCTGCTGGAAAGAGTTCGAAAATTGGACTTCTCGATTGGGCTTTCTACGCAAACGGAATGGAGCCCATATGCCAGAAATCATTTTTAAACGTTAATGTCATGACACTGTAATTCAAATAAATGCATTTTTATGTCAATGCAGGTTGTTTTTCATTTTTTTATTTAGTTTTAAAAACCACACCAATAAAAAAATCACCCTATATATGCATTAGTTTTAGAGATATTCTCAAAATAATAAAAAAATTATTTTCTAATTTGATTTTTCAGACGTTTTTTTTCAAATCCATCTTATATAATCGATTAGCCTGATGTTGTTTTACATTAGTAAAGATAGCCCTAGTGAAAAAAAACATTAGAGAATCATTAAAAAAATACGTAGTGATACGTAGTTGTAATTGGGCCAACTAGACATCACTACGTACGTAGTGATATCATTAGGTAACGTAGTGATGTATGATCATTAGGTAACGTAGTGATGTCTAGTTGGCCCAATTACAACTACGTATCACTAGGTAATGTATGATCATTAGGTAACGTAGTGATGTCTAGTTGGCCCAATTACCACTACGTATCACTAGGTAATGTTGAGTGATCTTTTGCATAGTGATGTCTAATGATTTTGGCATGGTGGTGACAAATGATGCAATCAAATCTCGTCAGACATCACTTACTTATTGTCTTACTCACCCTAAGATAGTCAAGAAAATAAGATGTTGCTCTTAAGTAACACTTACCACGATCAGTGTCATGTAGGATAACATGTTGACCCTTACACAGACATAAACTTGTGATGATATAGGCAGAAAAAAATTTCTAGAGACAAATTTCTAAACTTTTATCAGTAAAATAGTAACAAAGGTAGCAAAAAGTTAAATATGTGACTAAGATTGCACAGTTAGGGCCTATAGTAACTACGTACTTTGATTCGTAAAACAAACAAATGGGTTAATAACAAAAAACACCAAACCCTGACTATTCGGAAGATTAGTTACAGACACGGTACATGAAAGTTCTGTCCCCATAATTTCAGTTTAGCAGGAATTTGCTCAATATAAAAATTATATCTTTAAAATGAAACCAAGCTAAATAAAACACAGAGGATACGCGTCCGGTAACCAGACGTGGATTAGGCGTCCGGTAGTGACGTCACCGGGTTGTGGGGTCCCGGAACGCCATTACCACAACGATACGATGTTCGGTCAGCGTTGTTCGTGGTGTAGTGGATAGAGTGCTCGGCTGATATCCTAGAGGTCCCTGGTTCGAAACCCATCGGTTTCTTTAACTTTTTGTCACAGATTTTGCTTTGAATGTAATTTCTTCTTAACTGTACATCTTTTGTTAGAATTTTTGGCATTTATAATTTTATGTTATGTTATGAAGAGAATTGAACCTTCATTTGATTTTTTAATTATCAGCAAGTTTGGTTGGTTAGGTTAGGTTATGACAGTAACTGCCGGACGCCTAATCCACGTCCGGTTACCGGACGCGTATCCTCTGCGTAAATAAAATATATTGATTTAAGAATCAGAATAAAGTTTACTTTTGTTTTTAATAATTAGTGTTTAACTAGGCCTATTAGGGTTGGAATTTTTTTGTGATTGTGACATTTTTTGTGAGATATAACTTTTCACAAAGCAGGACCACCTCGTTTTCTGTTGGTGGAGGACCTCCTCTCGAAAACGTTCACAGATAAGTCTTGAAAAGGCATACACCGATAAAATAAAAAATGACCAATCAAAAATATTTTGAAATCTATATATTGTCAACTCACCAGAACAAAAATTAGGCTAAACCATTTATTACAGAGTGAATAAGAAATCCACGCTATTAAATACTAAACGGGTTTTGGGCAGCAATTTATAGCAAAATTTTAACTCAAAAGTTGAAAGTTTGCCTAGTGGTACGGCATTCATTTACTACTACTGGAATGTCAAATATAAATAAAAATTAATTGTATAGGCCTACCTACCTTCTGACAATCCCATTCACTGCTGATTTGCGATGCGTTTTTGTCAACACATCAGATATCTTCAGGCATCCACAATAGCTTTGTCATAAATATTAAAATGAAACTGTCACTAGAGACAATTTACCCAAAAAAAACATTTAACAAATAACAGGTAGGCCTATTGTTGTAGCGGTGGCCCATTCCATGTACGCACACAAATTAATTTTGGCCCAGAACTAAAAGACGTGGCCACCGGGTCTAATACCTAGTTTATTCGTTAGCCTAAATGTATATTTAGGGGTAGCGGATTTCTACCCCCGGATATTTACCCCCATGAAAAAACGCCTAGGTCATTTTTACGTCACGAGGGGCGGGGCCTATACACGGTCGAGAAATAGCCCGCGACTGGAAATCTACCCCCGGACATCTACCCCCGGACATTTACCCCCAGACATCTACCCCCGTACATCTACCCCCGGAAATCTACCCCCGGAAATCTACCCTCGGACATCTACCCCCGTGGTCAGCTCTGTCACGTATCGGCCAATATTCATTGTTGTAATTGATTTTATTGACTGTTTTATGTAAATCAACGGCTCTTCGGTTAGTAATTGCCCTCTAATATCTAGTATTACGCATGTGATATGTCATTGTCTTGTTTAACATTATCTATCTTCCTAATGAAATAGGCTGTAACAGCCCTTTTTCACCCGAACTTTACTTTACAGATTTTTATGATCGAGGTGTAATTTTAAATCTTAAGATCTAGCGCAACGCAAAATGGTAATTAAAACGATATTTTGATAAAGGACTTAAAAAGTTTGACCCTTAAGCATTTGATTTATTTCCAGACAGTGATTTAAATGTTTGGCCAACTTTCACATACAGTAACAGCTAACAGCGATGCACGAGCGCAGTTCGTGAAATTTAATACATATCATTGAAAGAGGCTATTTTTTGATTACTAGAGGTAAGAATACAGTGCAATCAAATGTTGATAAAAAGCCTGCCACTGGTTGATCAATAAATAAATTAATTATTTCATTATTAATTCCTCTCTAGTAATATAGTTTTAATTACCATTTTGCGTTGCGCTAGATCTTAAGATTTAAAATTACACCTCGATCATAAAAATCGGTGAAGTAGTTCGGGTGAAATAGGGCTGTTACAGCCTATTTCATTAGGAAGATAGATAATGTTAAACAAGACAATGACATATCACATGTGTAATACTAGATATTAGAGGGTAATTACTAACCGAAGAGCCATTGATTTACATAAAACAGTCAATAAAATCAATTACAACAATGAATATTGGCCGATACGTGACAGATCTGACCACGGGGGGTAGATGTCCGGGGGTAGATTTCCGGGGGTAGATGTCCGGGGGTAGATGTCTGGGGGTAAATGTTTGGGGGTAGATGTCCGGGGGTAGATTTCCAGTCGCGGGCTGTTTCTCGACCGTGTATAGGCCCCGCCCCTCGTGACGTCAAAATGACGTAGGCGTTTTTCATGGGGGTAAATATCCGGGGGTAGAAATCCGGCGACCCTATATTTAGTAATCAGAGTTATTTAGGCCTACATTAATATTTACTAGTCGTGCAGGTAATTCTTGGCCTACACCGTTCTGATTTTTGCTCAACAATCAAACGTAGCATAGCCTAAGCCCTTTTATTTTGAATTTTAATTTTAATCGATATGGTACAGTAAATCTAATTTTAATTTTACTTTACCATCTTGACTAAAAACTTATAATCGCTATAACAACCCGTTCCCATAACCTGACCTTTCTGGTTCACATACTCATTCAAATCTATTGTCATCTTTAGACACTCATATCAAATTTCATCAAAATTGGATCAAAACTACTCGAGTTATGGACACACACACATAACTTACATAGCAAAAAATATGCATTCTTAATACTGCCATGGATAGGTTGTATAAAAACTCAAAGAACAATAGGCTATGGCAACTGGAGACAACACAATGAAAAAGTAAATTGATCCCTAGGCCTTTCCGTGTCTACGGTAATAACTTATTCCCTATGGAGAAATTTGCTAAAGTAACTTACGCAAGTTAGCTG